TTATTTCTCTATTGATTTTGTTTTACGTTCTATAGTCTTCTCTCACTTTTTCCGATTGTTGAAGATGAACCCGGACATTTAGGTCAGCGTGGCTCCCATGGGGTTGAGGCAATCCTCGGAAGTATGAGGAAATAAGCTCCCAACTCATGGCAGGTGAGGAATGGGTCATACTGTCCTAGTGTAAAGGGACTGGGCAGACACAACCATGTCTACTACGTGACATTCTTAAAAATGTATTGGAATCATAGAAGCTGTACGAATTATTGATAGGTATGAAAGGTACTACTATCTGAGCCTGAAGAGTGGAGGTGTGAACAGAATAACAGCTTCCCAAACACATCTACATCCTAATCTCCAATATGAATATATTATATTACATGGCAAAAAAGACGGACTGATCAAGGTTAAAGATCTTCAAATGGGGAGAAAATCTGGATTCACAGGTAGGGAGGTGAGGCAACCTAATAGGATTCTGTGAGTAGAGAGTCTTTTCTGGCTGAAGCTAGAGATGAGATGTTGCTGGTTTTAAAGATACAGCAAGGGGATCTTGCACCAGGCAGGAAGCTCCTAGAAGCTGGAAAATGCAAAGAAATAAAATTGTCCTAATTTAGGAAGGAATATAGCCATGATGACACCTTGACATTAGCTTAGAAAGATGCACTTTTTTTTTTAAGAGGTTTTTGCCTTAGGGTGTGTGCACTTGCAGGAGAGAGAGAGAGAAACAATAAGAGGAGAAATGAGAAATCACACCCCAGGGAGGATGCCATGCTGCACTCCCTTCTCCTCCTGGAATCATGGGTGTGTATGTGTGTGTACACACTCACACACACACACAGGGACCGGCATAAGTTTCAAGACTCTGGGTCCAGGACTCGAACCATAGAGGGCCATGTGGAAGTTCAGTGATGTAATTGCTACACTATCTGCTGGCCCCAAGAACTTCTAAGCTACAGAAATGTAAGATAATATGTTTGTATTGTTGTAATGTGTTGCAGGATCATAGAAACCCATAGAGTGGCTAAAGAGGGGAATCAAAAAGACTTAAAAATAAGGAGTTGATAGAGTGCCCACAGTTAAGAAAAAAATTTACAAATAACATTGTATTGTTTTATTTTTAAATTTTAAGTAGAGTTAGTAATTCTTACTCCCTACCTTCCTAAATATTTACAAACTAACTTTTAACGTGATAAGAAAAATGCTTTCAATGAGATGAAAGTCGAGTTAAAATATGATAATCATTTTATAAAAATTAAGAAAAACATCTTCAGTGAATCCCCAAAGTTGCTAAAGAAAGGTTAAAAAGTAGAAACTATATTTATTTTTTATTACTACATTGATATGGGTTTGGCTTATGATACTGTTTTTCAGTAGCTGCTTGAGATTTACTTTTTCTGAAGAAAATTCAGGACTATGAGCTTAGTGACCACCAGAGGGTGCTATGGGAAAGGCTCGCCCTCTCCGAGTATGCCGCCCAGACAGGCAATAGCTGGTGGCTGGGCACTGGAAGCTAGGACACCTAGTATCATCTGGCACTCTAGAAAAGCAGTGTGAGAAGAGCAGGCTCAAATGCATTGCCCTGACAAATATTTTTGCAGTAAAAAGCTTATATATGACTGTTATATATGACTGTTGGTATCTTCTTCAAAAATAAAAAATATATATACAACAAAATTCAGCCATTTCCATGAAGTTTTTCAAAATAGGAATATTAACTCAGTACATGAAAATTGGCAGTTGTACAATGTAAATGGATATTCCCTTGAGCAAGTGAGCGAATGTGGTGGAGGTGAGGGGAGAGGTGATGAGGACATGTCCTGATGATGACATTGAATCAAGTGGCAGGTTATCCCTGGAGGGTTAAATCTATTTCAGTTTAAAGAACGAAGTTCCTTAACTCAAGACCAAAAAGGTATAGATGCCAATGCTGCCAAAAAGCAGAGCGTGAGAGAAAAGGAAAGGACAATGACCAAGTGCACCAATCCCCCGCCCGAGCAATGTTATATCAGGCAGTCAAGAGTTTGTAGAATATATTGGAAGAAGCAAATGGATCTAGAAATGGTAATGATTCTACCTTTGTATTTAAAGTAAACATAGACTGTCTCTGCAAGATAAGGAAGGGATTTGCTGAATGTCTTCAAACTATAAGGAAGGTCATGGCAGGGGAAGGAGACCAGCTGGGGCAACACTGAGACACACACAGAGGAGGGCCAGGAAAACAGAACGAAGCCAGGAGGTCACACCTGCCACTCAGTGTACCTGCTGTCGCAGAGTCGGATGGAGTTATGCATGGAGTTAGTACAGGTTGGAATTACTGATGATTTAAAAAGAGTATGATGAGAGGTAGGAGATAGGGAAGTAGTAATTCAACTGGGCCCACATGGGAAAAGCAGTCCCGTCCCAAGGCCTCCTGAGTAGGACAGGCACGCTCACGTGTGTCCATGATCCAGACTGACTGAGACCCTGCTAGGATGCATGGATCTCTAGCTCTCTTTTTATTGCTCCTGTCTCTTTCATGAAAGAAAGAAACTTTTAAGATGTATTATGGTGGCTTATTAGAGGAAATTCATATTTAATATATTCATACATATTACTTATTTTTTAGTAAATCAAAAATATTTTATGGTGGGACCAGCAGTTAGCGTAATGGCTATGTCACTGGACTCCCACGTAGTCGACTGCAGTTCGAGTCCCGGACCCAGAGGCTTAAACTCACGCCAGGCGTGTGTGCGTGCATGCCCAAGATCCCGAAAGGAGAATGGAGGAGAAGGGATTGCGGCATGGCCATCCCCCTTGGGGGTTGATTTCTCGCTTTCTGTCTCTCTGTCTCTCTCTGTCTGTCTGGCGGGAGGACGCGCCCTATAGCAAAAACCTCTCAAAAAATATATATTTTATGATAAAAATTCAAGAAGTATATTTCTAGTTGGGGTAGAAGAATACTAACTTTATTATTGTTGGTAAAAAAAATAATGCAATTACGGCACAGCCTCAATGGTGCAGTGGCAATGCAAGCATCGTTCAAAATTCAAGATCAGAAGCCAACCAGTGATATGGATCCCTGGGTCACCTTGAAAACATGTCAGGTGCACAGACAGGCACTCGGGATCCTGAGGGCTGGAAGACTAGGAAGGTGGATTGCATGTAATAACTCTGTTGAGGGTCTCAGTCTCTCTCTCATGTGTGTGCATGCACACTCTTTATCAAGAAAAAGGAATACAAATGCAACTATTACATATAGTTTATTAGTTTAAAATGTCATGATATGTATGATCTCATTTTTTTATACCAGAGGGTGAGTGCATGAGAGAGAGAGAAAGTAAGAGAGAACAGACTCCCGAAGAAGGCCATCTATGCCATGACTTTTTTCCTCCCATTTTTCCAGACCACCAGGACCCTGGGCATGTGCATGTGTGCTCAGCATGTTTCTTAAGCCCACAGGGCAAGGACTCAAATCCCAGTCAGCACGTGGAATTTGGCTTCCTTTGCATGATGCCTAACTGCTGTGTCACTGAAGCTGACTCAATGATGCCATTTTTTTGTACAATGTTTTCTATCACTTTACTTCTATCTACTTATCTAACCATCAAGTCAAATATCAATATTTCTGTTCACATGCCGGGCGCATGTGCGTGCATGCCCAAGATCCCGAGAGGAGAATGGAGAAGGGATTGCGGCATGGCCATCCCCCCTAAGGGGTGATTTCTCGCTTCCTGACTCTCTGTCTCTCTCTGTCTGGCGAGCTCCTGCGCCCTACAGCAAAAATCTCTCCAAAAAAAAAAAAAAATTCTGTTCAGAAGGCTATCCAGACCAGTTATGTTTTAATGTCTAACATGGTTAGATACCTAATATCTATATCAACATAGTGTTAATGAAATAATTGCATATTGAGGCGTAGCTGAGGTGGCACACAGATGATGCTATTGCTTGAGAGGCTGCAAGCCACAACATGGGAGGTTGGGACTCAGTTTCCATGACAACCCAAACACAATTATACATGCCTATAATTGTAGCTAATTGGGAGGCTGGTACGAAAGGATCTCAACGTGGTGACACTGTTGAAAATACTTACCTTTGCCTCCCTCCCTTTTTTCTTCCCTCTCCCTTTCTTTCTCATAAAGGAAAAAAAAAAAGAACTTAATATTGATAGATGTGATTTATACAAATTAAGGTTCTTTGAAATCCTCTATAATTTTTAAGAGTGTCAAGGGGCCAAGATAAAAAAAAAAATCAGAACTTGGTCCTCAATGACTCCTATATAAATAGCTCTAAACTAAATCTCTCTCATGGAACAACAACTATAAACATGTCTGCTACACATTTCAAAATAAACAACCCAAAAAAGAATACCTGATATGCTATCTCAACCTGTAAAATTACTTCTCTCCCTAGTTTCTCCAGTTTTGGAAAATGGTGCTCCAGGGGATCACCCTGCTCATCTCCCTAACCGAAGACTCATCATTGCCTGATGCCTTCTACATCTTCCATATCTGGTTCACCAGCAAGATCCACTGGCCCTACTATGAAAGCACGTTTCTGATCTCCCACCTCTCACCAGCTTCACAATTATTATCTCAGTTCAAAGCACTACCAAATGTTCTTCACATTTTAGAAAATGTAATCAAATAAAAAACCCTACAGAGTAAGGCTTCCAAAGGGTAGCTGTACAAAAGGGCAAGTGCCATCCATATCATTATCATCGTCACTGTTACTCTCTAAATCCAGGCAGAATACAAATCATTTACATAATATCATTTTTAACATAGTGATTCAGTGATGGCAGTAATTCCATATTTTCTAACCAAATTATAAAGGTCTTGACTCAAAAGGATAGGTGACAATGACTTTCATAAAAGAGTTGAAACACATAACTTGGCAAATTTTTAAATGCTAGCACCAAATAAATTAGATTAAAATATTTTTGTTTCAAAAACATTTGAATTTAGGAAGTGGATTAAAACATAAGTTCTACTTTTATTTTTCATCAGATAGGTAGTTCAACTTACCTTATCAAGTTCATCTGAAATTGCAATACCTGGGATTCAAAAGAGATTTATAAAAAAAAGTTTTAGAAAAGATCTTTAATAACCTAATGTTGAAAACAAAATTTCTATTCATAAAACTGATGCATTTCTTATTCTCTTTTCCCTTTTATTAGTGTTCAAAGTAATGGGGCACATCATTCCTACCAATGAACACAAATTAGGAACTTGAGTCAATGATGAACCATGAACACTGAAACAGTGCAAATCACACAATGAAAACAAATAAGTACTATCCCTCTCTTTGGTTATAAAGGCAGAGCAAATTTACAAAGAGAATTGGAGAGATGCTGTCATTATATTATAAGGGATATCAGGGACAACCTAGCCTTTTAGACTTTTTCCTTCTTAAGAATTCGTTTTGACTCCTAGAATGATTAATTATTAAAGCAGAATGGTAGTTGAAGATCATTTATTTTCATTCCATTGTTTTCTAGATGAGTAAACAGACTAAAGAGCTAAGGATGTTCTCACACAGTCCCCGAGATCGAGAGCTTCTTGAGCTAATGGACAAATGGTCCCTCCTTTCAACTTCTCACCCTCTGCAATATGAGGGGCTTCAAAAATTCATGGGAAAGTGGAATGAAAGTACAAATTTATTAGGGTACATAAAACTGTGAAATCCATGCACTGTTTTTTTAAATACACATTTTCTATATAGTTTTGAAGACCCCTTGTATTTACTGGACATTGGTCTGATTTCCGTCATTTTCATTCCTCCAAAACAGTTCTAAGTCAACAGTGTGAAAAGCTTTAGTTTTTAATCTGATGAATTTCTCACTAATGACAAACTCTGTTAACCCCGTTTTTCTTTCTTTAAATGCTGTCCTCTCTTTGAAGGAATTACTTTGTTTTTTCTTTTTTGTTCTGTTGTTTTTTGTTTCTTAGTGTGTGTGTGGTGTGTGTGTGTGTGTGTGTGTGTGTATGAAGGCAGTATAAGGGTCCTTTTCTGAAATGCCAAGGGTTCTTTGCTAATATATCTATTCTGTCATTTGATATTAATATATTCCCTTAGTAATCTAACTGTACCATTGTTATGACATTTTTTTCCTCTATATAGTAAGTATAAACAAATCCTATTGTCTGCACAGACTTTCTTCCTGTGCTAGTTGTTGAAGTCCTGTGGGCACTCCAGTTTCAAAATGCCAGACTAAAGACATCTTTCTCCTAAGTTCCCATTTTCTTTTGAACAATCATGGGCCCAGGGCTAAACACAGGCACCGTGGCTGGGCATAGGACAGATGCAGCCAGGACTCTGGTTAGGGGCATTGAGCAAAGAAAAGCTGGTGTCAAATCTCAGCGGGGCATAGAACAGAGACAAGAAAGTCCCAAAGTTTGAAGTCTAAAGAAACACAGAGGGGAAAAAAAAGCAAGTTTTGAAGCTGAATTCAACAAACTATAAAGAGCAAGAAACAATGAGCTGAGGTAGAAAGGAGAACCTGAAGGTTGTCTCAAGAAATTAAGTATGAGGCCCAGCTGCTGTGATGCAGCAACAACACAAGTGCCCTGCAAGGCTGCAAGTCACAAGGCTGACCACGGGTTCAGGTTTCAGGTTGGCCTGAAACATATCGGACATGCAGGCGACCAGGATCCTGAGAGCTGAAGGGCTAGGAAAAGAGGATAGCAGTGTGACAAGACCCTTTCGAGAGTTTTTCTCCCTCCCCTCACGCTCTGCCTCATGCGCACATGCACTCTCTATCGTGAGAAAGAAAAAGAGAGAGAGAAAGAAAGACAGATAGGCTGCCCTGAATGAAGAAATTATTATAGGGTCTCCCTCCCCTACCCTGTTACAGAAGTCTACAGAGGGAATACCAGGTACTCTAGCAGTTCCTATATCATCCCCCCGAACCATCAACCTAAAGAATCAATTATATGCAAAGCAGAAAAAAATGGGTGCTGCTTCATCTCAGTAAAGGACACTAATTCTTCCCCTTGCAGATAAAACTAGAGGTGCAGGCATATTGAGATGCATTCTTCAATATTGTACAAGATTCTTCTTGTTAAAAGTTATCAATGACTAAGAATTTTTATATGTCACTACACAAACAATCTAGCTATCACTTCAGGGATTTGGGATGCCTATGCCTAACAACTATTTAAAGACTGGGCATATTACAAAGGTAGCTCCTTCAAATAATTAAGGGAGAGAAAGCTTCGAGGAGGGTGGGGAGTACTCAGCCACAATGGCACTGTAGCAGAAGAAGAGAGATGAGGCAGATATGAGATACCAGAGCTTGTGGACAATTATACACATTTCTTTTTATTTTTAAGAATTATTCATTTAATTTTATTTACTATTATTATTCTCCAATTTGACCAGAGAGAGAAAGAGCAAGAGAAAGCAAGTCCAGGACTTGAATCAAGGTAGGCCATGTGGGAGTTCAGAGCCATAATCACCATGTCAGCTACTGGCCCCAATTGTAAACATTTCTAAAAATGTAAGTCACACATTTATGAATGTTTGGGTTTAAAAAATATATAGAATTACAAGTGGCCACTTAGAATAACTCAGATTTTAAGAAAATATAGGAAATGTATGGAATGCTAAATAGTTTATATCACATTCTACAGTGGATTTAAAATATATGATCCCAGTTCATAAAATCCAAAAATGCTCTTAGATGTTTATGGTGCAGGCATATTGAGATGCATTCTTCAATATTGTACAAGATTCTTCTTGTTAAAAGTTATCAATGACTAAGAATTTTTATATGTCACTACACAAACAATCTAGCTATCACTTCAGGGATTTGGGATGCCTATGCCTAACAACTATTTAAAGACTGGGCATATTACAAAGGTAGCTCCTTCAAATAATTAAGGGAGAGAAAGCTTCGAGGAGGGTGGGGAGTACTCAGCCACAATGGCACTGTAGCAGAAGAAGAGAGATGAGGCAGATATGAGATACCAGAGCTTGTGGACAATTATACACATTTCTTTTTATTTTTAAGAATTATTCATTTAATTTTATTTACTATTATTATTCTCCAATTTGACCAGAGAGAGAAAGAGCAAGAGAAAGCAAGTCCAGGACTTGAATCAAGGTAGGCCATGTGGGAGTTCAGAGCCATAATCACCATGTCAGCTACTGGCCCCAATTGTAAACATTTCTAAAAATGTAAGTCACACATTTATGAATGTTTGGGTTTAAAAAATATATAGAATTACAAGTGGCCACTTAGAATAACTCAGATTTTAAGAAAATATAGGAAATGTATGGAATGCTAAATAGTTTATATCACATTCTACAGTGGATTTAAAATATATGATCCCAGTTCATAAAATCCAAAAATGCTCTTAGATGTTTATGGATATGTTTAATATAATTGTATAAAAATGTTCCTTTCCAATATGAATTCAAGATTAAGAATGAATATCTTACTTTGTTTGTTGGATATATGGGGCACATGGAAATGGGGGGAGGAGACAGAAAGTGAGAAATCACCCTCCCAGGGGGGACGGTCATACTATAATCCTTTCTCCTCCATTCCCCTCTCAGGATCTTAGATACACACACTCAAGCACCTGGAGTGTTTTTAAGTTGCCAGGTCCAGGACTCAAACTGCAGTCAGCCATGTGGAATCCAGCAGCCTTAACCATCATGTCACCTGGCTGATGGAATGAGTATGTTACTTAAATATGAATATTTAAAGGACTTGGTATATCTTAAAGGAAGAGTAAGAATATATAATATGAAACAAAATTCTCATCCAAAGTCATAAAGCTTAAATATCTGAAATCAAATAACCCCAAATTTCATTGTCAATGTTTATGAAACACATTTGATTTTCTTTTCACTTGCTATAGTAATGCCCTTGGGTCTGCAAAAAGAGTTTTCTCATTCAATTTTTAGAACACTATCAGTTGGGACCAGCAGTTGGCGTAATGGCTATGTCACTGGATTCTCACATAGTCGACTGGGGTTTGAGTCCAGGACATGGTGGCTTAAATTCACGCCGGGTGCATGCGCATGCATGCTGAAGATCCCAAGGGGGGATTGTGGCATGGCCATCCCTACTGGGGGTGATTTTTCACTTTCTGTCTCTCTGTCTCTGTCTTTCTGGTAAGTGCACGCACCTTATAACAAAAACTTCTCAAAAAAAAAAAAAAAGAAAGAAAGAACACAGTTGATCTTTAAATTTCTTTTATACCTCAGATTTATGAATCCATTACTCATAAAGATAGCAGCAATATATTACCCATCTGGAATGTACCCAAGAACTGGCAAGTAAGTCAAAAAACCTGTGAGCAGTCAAATTACGTGTCACGGTGCTTGCTCCTTACTTATGGGCTGGCTCCTCTTGATTTTAGCATGCCTCATGAGCTGTTTCTCAGGGCTGAACAATGGGGATGAAGAGAAACATTGCTTTGAAGATTTATTTCAGTACTTGAAGCAAGGGGCACCAGAATAAAACTCAAATTAACCAAGTGGAAACTTGGTTTAGAGAAAGAATTATGCCTCTACTTACTTCGAGTGTTCAGTCTGACACCATGTTTTATTCAAATATCTATTGCCGTATTTCCCTAACAGTTACATAGTTTTATGACTGCCTAAGAAATTATCCAAGTAAATCTTCACTCTATCATATATAATTCCTTCATCTTTCTATGTCAGTATCAAATTGCTGAGGGTATTTTCACTTTTTCTTATTTCACTTTTAATCAAAGCTTAAACTGATTAAAGCAGTGGAAAGAATTTTAATAAAACACTTCCTCAGAGAAGCATGAAGCTCTAAGGGGAACAATTTATGTTGAGTAGCCAGGATATTTTCCTAGTACCTAGGCAGAATGTCCACAGTTATTACCTGAAAGGAGATGGACATTGTTTAGGCATTTCATTAACTCTTAAAATCCATCAGATTTTAGGATGTTTCTTAAAGTTCACAGAGATTGGGGATCTGCAGTAAACAGAAAATATGCAAAAGAAAATGTGGCGAGTTGCTACAGTATGTTATAAGAAAAGAAGGCCCAGGATTGCAGTGTGAGGCTCTTG